GGACCGGTCGCAGGCGTCCGGTTTTTCCGTCTGTAACTTGAGATAAGACCGGTCCAGTGGGACCTCGCTGGCCGGGTACAGCCCCGAGAGGAGGGGGTCCAGCTAGAGGGGGAATGACAGCAATGGTAACATGTCCGAGGGGAGAGCTCATCCAGCAGACGTCAGGACGTCAGGGTAACGAAAGTAAAGGAAGAAACAACTTTCCGAGTCAGGAGAAATAATGCTTCCCAAATACAATACGCGATAGAAAATAAATGAAAACAGCAGGTGATAGAACAAGTGTGAGCTCGGCTCACACATGTGCTCTGTATTAACCCTCTATCGCAGAATGCCACTCTCCGGGAACATAACTTTCAACTTAAATTATACGTAAACTATTGAGTGTAGCAACCTGAGGTCGTTTGTACGCAACAGAAAACATTTTAAAGTTGTCGTACGTGGCGGCAACAATCAGTGCAAGTCACTTCGCGCTCACTAGAACGGATTTTTTTTCGGGAAGTAGGCTTTTGACAATATTGGTCCGGTTACTCATGTCAGGAGGTAGAGGGTTTACATCGTCACCTTCTACATCATCATCACCACCAGCACAATCAACATCATCAACCACATACAAAAAATGCATTTATCTTCATACGAGGTCAAGTCAGTAGGAGCGTGAGTGAGTACAGTGATAAGGACAACATCCTAGATAAAGACAGTGATAAGGACAACAACATCCTGGAACGTGAGGAGTCAGAGGGCAGATAAGACGGGTCAACATCTCCCGAGGGCTCGGAGGGATAGGCTGAATTTCTTGCGGTCACGGGTTCATGATTTTTGTTTGCGCTAACACAAGTAGACTTTCATGTGTGAAGCGTTTATTATAGTCTGGTTTGAATAGAAAGCGAATAATTATTTCAAGGTAATCAGAAAAATGCTGCGAATGATGGCGGATGACGACAAAACGTAATGTTGTTCATGTCGTTCTTATTCAAAATGACTGAGCCATCAATCGAAAAAAATATACATTCTAAGATACAATGCAACCTGAGCCTCAATTTTCACTTTAAACTTAACAATAACCGACAAAGTATAATTATCATTGAGTGATAAACTTTGAGCATATTTACGCATTTTGCCGTCGCTTTGCATTCAGGTTTTTCTAACGACGTATTCCATCCGAGGCGTTATGTGCTGATATATTCATTATTCAATCTACGCACATCATTAAGACACAAACTTTTTAAAGGCAAAAAAGGCTAAAGGACAAGAACTACATCACCGTCAACATCATCACCATCACCCACATGACCATCATAATAATCACCATCACCAACATCACTATCACCCACATCACCATCACCCACATCACCATCACCCACATCACCATCACCCACATCACCATCACCCACATCACCATCACCCACAGCAGGCTGTTGCAATAACAAGATTACGCACACGCGAGGGGTGCACAGCTGTGTCATCCCTGGAGGAGGGGGAGTAGCAACTGTGGGAGGGAGGGGTGGGGAGTGTCGGGGTGGGGAGTGAAATTTTAAACGTTGCTCATTTCCTTGTCAATATTGTTGTGTGTTGATAATGACTACATACATATATGTAATATTGCGGGATTCTAGTATTAATACTGCAATGTTATGGTTGTGGTGTTACCGTGAGCGTGTATATATAGTGTTTTCAGGAAGGCGTTATGTAGGTGCTGAGGTGGTGGTAGTGTGAGGGGTGGTGATTGGGTAACGAGGGTAACGGAGTTACGAGGGTGCAGTGCTGAGGACATCGTTCAGCGCCAAGTTGCTAACGAAAAACCAATGGTGCGAGTCGAACATTAAAATAAATAAATAAAAGAGAGAGAGAGAAATTATTTACCTTTTCAGTTATCCCTTTCAGTTTTCGTACAAAATTTTTTCAGAATTCTGCGTGCACAAATTTTCATAACCAGGGCTTCGCAATCGAACAACCAAGGACTGCAGACTTCAACAAGCGAGGGTTCGTTGCTGTGAGGGCACACGAGGGAAAAAGGCAAGGAAAAAATTAGTGTGACCACGAGTGCGAGGGAAAGTGAGGGACACACGCGCTAACTATAATTGCATGAACGATGGAAAGTTGTGTGACTGTACAGAGGGTGACGCGTGTAACAGAGGGGAGGCTTGTGTGAGTCGGAAGATAACACTTGCGAGTGTTCTAGGGCGACACTTACATTTGTGTAGTGTGAGGGTGAAACTTGGGGGTATGAAGGTGATACTTGCGTCTGTTTGAAAGAGAAACTTCAATAAACAATAGCTTTTCCTTTTATCGAAAATTCTCATATAACGTTTCATTCGTTAGTTTAGTAGAAGATACTCCTATATAGGTCTCAATTTTTTGGTTGACTAGTGCGCGAAAAATGAAAAATAAATAGCCACATTGCATCGCCCATCAATGTTACACATGCATAACACATCGTACGATACGGCTCAGCGTCACACGCGTAATACGCAACAAGATGGACACTCTCAACAGGGATTGCACGAGTGCAGTCCTCCACCACACATATAAGGGTTATATACCAGCAGGGTTAGTAAGCCCTTATATTAGTATATGAAGGTAAGCTGTAAGCGTTAAGTGAAGGTGTACTTCTAGTTAGGGCGAGTTTCTTGCCGGAGGGAAGCGAAGCGCTAATTACGAGTAAACCTTGAGTGAATATAAAATTAAAGTATTGGGTGATATAAAAATGTAAGTAACTGTCAATCATATACGCTGAATGATTGAAAATGCTTCTGATAGCATATCCTGAGTCAAGATAAACGAGTGATGAACAATACTAAACATTGAGGGAATGTTAAACATGGGTGTGAGTCAGGGCCTATACTTTCAGAAAAAGTTAAGAGATCGTAAGTTCATCAGCCAATCATTGACGGCCTTTCAAGCAAAATCCGCCAATCATAGACAAGAAAATAGAGCGTAAGTACTTACGTTCACTTAGCGAGTTTTGAAAGTATGGCCCCTGTTCTAACTTCAGACAGAGTAAACCTCGAGTGTGGATGAGTCCTAAACATAATGGATATGGAGAGGTAAACACTGATGGAAAATGTGTACAAAATGACTCTGGCGAGGGTTAGCTCTGAGTGAGGGTAAGTCGAGACTGTATGAGTGTCCCCTCATTTCCCTCGACTCACAAGTTTATTTTGATCCACTGAAGTGAATATTAAAAATCTGCACCCGGTGAGATGAATAAATTTTCCGAGAGGTTCTTGGTTGTCAGTTACAGACGAGTATTAACGACCAAAATGCGTCGGGTTAGCAATTATAGTTCTTAAAATTTATCTCATATCCTGGATAGTGTAGATACTTGCATAAACTCAGCCTTCAGTTGTCACGCTCAATCCTTTTCAGTAATCGTACAAGATTTTATTACAATTCTCCGCTTACAAATTTTTAAAATAAGAGCTTCGTGAGCGAATGAAATTGAGAAACGTTTTCTTCACGAATAATGACGTCTTGATGTTGGATTTGATGTCCATTGCGTGGATAAAGCAACATGAACATCATGTCCAGCATCACCACCACATGAAAATAATTTCCGGAATCACCACATCATGAACACCATGTCCAACTTAATATCCAACGTCATGTCAAACATAATGTCCAAAATAATGTCCAAAATCATGTCCAACATAATGTCCAAAATAATGTCCAAAATCATGTCCAACATCATGTCCAACATCATGTCCAACATCATGTCTAACTTCATGTCCAACATCATGTCCAACATCATGTCTAACTTCATGTCCAACATCATGTCCAACATCATGTCTACTTCATGTCCAACATAATGTCCAAAATAATGTTCAATATCATGTCCAACATCATTTCCAACATAATGTCCAACATCATGTCCAGTATCATGTCAACATCACATCACCACATCATATTTTCGACACCTCCCCCCTTCACCCCTCATATCATCACCCCACTCATCACGTCAGGATTTCTCTGCGGCTCAAGTGATTGATGAATAATCGATACCGGCGGCCTCAGTGTCATCCTGTTACTGGCGTTACTGCTGCAGTGCAGTGTTACAGTGTCATCCTGTTACTGGCGTTACTGCTGCAGTGCAGTGTTACAGTGTCATCCTGTTACTGGCGTTACTGCTGGTCTGCAGTGTTACAGCGCTGCATAACCTGCATGAAATTACATATTATGAAGCTTTGACTCGAACGAGTTGGAAAAACTATTTTCTTGGACGCCTTAGGCCTGCAATGCCTTTGGGTTGCAATGCCTGGTGCCCATTGCCCTGCTCTGCGTATATGTCGGCAAAACATGAGGCTAAGTTGGTGTAATGGAAATAAGTGCGTAAATTGAATGTTCGGGTGAACAACCGTGGACTTTAAACAGAAACTGTCAACTGTTCTCATAGTGCAAGAAATTTCAATCCAACCGAGGATTTATCACTATTATTATTAAGAAGATTCGAAGATATCTCCATGAGGTTATTTAATCCTGTTTCTTCGTGCATCGTCCAAAATCCTGGTATAACCAACATCCCTGCCGCCTTGAATTGGACTCATGAAGCTCGTCTTTTTGGACGGCGAAAGAGGCAATTTTGGAGGCGTGTTATTTGCACGGCTGTATTTCTATTCTTGACTTACGTCCTGGATCTGACGTTGCCAACGACGCGCCATTCCTATTCCCTCTGGAACGCCAACCGGCAGTAAATACAGGCCATGCCGCACGCTTCTTCCAGTGCTGCTGCGGCTGCCATGGGAGGAGGTTGAGTGTGGCACTGCTCTCTGCCTGCGCCTGATAGGCCTGCTCTCCTAACAAAGGCCTAAAATCAACAGATGAAACGAGATCGCGACGTCCCGTCTTGACTTCTGATTATCTTGGTGCAGTTCAGTGGCGGTGCTTTCAACAAAGAATTCTTGTGATATTCCTTAAAATTGTTTTGATGCAGAATTAATTGTAAAATAGGATCGATTGTGTACACCCATTTTATTTATGTCTTCTCTCCTTTTTTTGCAGAGCTTGCATAAAACCAAAGACATATTCATAAATAAAAAAAAACTTTTTTCCATATCAGGAAATGCAGCAAACGTTTCAGTTTATTTGATTGGTGAACAAATTACTTGTGTGCTACCACAACGTAACGCATTACTGATCGTTCAAGCGAACAATGTATATCAGCTTAATAAAATAGGCCCAGCATTAGAGGTGAGTAATTCGCGCAATTAATTGAATATAAATATAAATAAAAAATAAAACTTTTATACCTAACCGAGGCGAAAATTTCAAAGGTTTAAGATTCATCATTCACATGATGGTAATTTTCACTATAATGGCGAAGAGTTCAAAAATTTAAATACTTCTTAGGATAACCATTATTATCCCATTCTATTGCACAACCTTTCTTTATTTGCACCTTATTGTCATTGCTCATATCCCCATACAATAAGTAAATCTGTTCTCTAAATCATGCATTGCATACGAAAGCGAATTTTTGCAAACACACCAACAAAAATTAGCACCAGCTTCGTAGAATTATGACTTACTTTTCATCTCTATAACCCACATCTTCATAGAACGTATATTCAGACACACAGTACGTGTATATTCTAGACATATCACAAGCTATATGAATCATCCGTCTCCCCCGGTTGCAGCCTCGACTCCTACGCTGTTCTGAGGCCGTAGTTTCAAAAATAATTACGTTATTTCAAAAATAGTTACGTTAAATGCGCCGTATATAGTTACCCGATAATACAATCACTGAGGAATTCAATAATACAATCACTGAGGATAATACAATCACATCAATTCTTGACGAGGAATTGTTCACTACGTGTACTTAGGCCGCTACGTGTCTCAAGCCGCTACGTGTACATATGCCACTACGTGTACTTAGGCCGCTACGTGTCTCAAGCCGCTACGTGTACATATGCCACTACGTGTACATATGCCACTACGTGTACTTATGCCGCTACGTGTCCTTAGGCCGCTACGTGTATTTATGCCGCTACGTGTACTTAGGCCGCTACGTGTACTTAGGCCGCTACGTGTACTTACATAGGCCGCTACGTCTACTTAGGCCGCTACTTGTACTTAGGCCGCTACGTGTAATTAGGCCGCTACGTGTACTTAGGCCGCTACGTGTACTTATATAGGCCGCTACGTGTACTTATGCCGCTACGTGTCCTTATGCCGCTACGTGTCCTTAGGCCGCTACGTGTACTTATGCCGCTACGTGTACTTATGCCGCTACTTGTACTTAGGCCACTACGTGTACTTAGGCCGCTACGTGCACTTAGGCCGCTACGTGCACTTAGGCCGCTACGTGTACTACGTGTGCCTCTATTTTTCATGGTACTTCTCCCGGCCTGTTGGTAGCTATGCGGCCGGCAGACGAACATGACGTTGATTAGAACATTTCCTATACAAAATATTTTATTATTTAGTATGCCCTTATATGGATAGTGATACTATCACGAAAAATGATTTAAATCAAAGAACGGAAGTGTTGTTAACAATGAATAACAGTTCAATATAGTGTTACGTATAATAACAGGCCAGATAAAAATAGTTGAGTTTTAAAATGAAATTTATGGATGTTTTTTTCTTAGCTTCGATAGTCACATTGGGGAAGTTTTTACCGCGAACTTTCTTCAGGCGACTCCTGCCTCCCTGCACTTGACAGGCGACGTGAGGGTGAGAATACTTCCTATACAGGTGCAGCTGATGAGATCAGGTGCAGCTGATGAGATCAGGTGCAGCTTATGAGTTCAGGTGCAACTGATGAGTTCAAGCGCAGCTGATGAATTCACGTGCAGCTGATGAGTTCAGGTGCAGCTGATGAGATCAGCTGCAGCTGATGAGATCAGGTGCAGCTGATGAGTTCAGGTGCAGCTGATGAGTTCAGGTGCAGCTGATGCGCTCAGGTGCAGCTGATGAGTTCAGGTGCAGCTGATGAGATCAGGTGCAGCTGATGAGTTCAGGTGCAGCTGATGAGTTCAGGTGCAGCTAATGCGCTCAGGTGCAGCTGATGCGCTCGGGTGCACCTGATGCGCTCGGGTGCAGCTGATGCGCTCAGGTGCAGCTGATGAGTTCAGGGGCAGCTGATGAGATCAGGTGCAGCTGATGAGATCAGGTGCAGCTAATGCGCTCAGGTGCACCTGATGCGCTCGGGTGCAGCTGATGCGCTCAGGTGCAGCTGATGAGTTCAGGGGCAGCTGATGAGTTCAGGTGCAGCTGACGTGCTCAGGTGCAGCTGACGTGCTCAGTTGCAGCTGACGCGTTCTAGTACAACTGATAGACTCGGGTGCATTTGGAGGATTCAGGTGAATCTGATGGATTCATATGCATCAGATTCATTCAGACGCATCTAACGGATTCTAGCACATCTATTGCATTCAGGTGCATTAAATTCGGCAGACACATCTAATTAATTTAGACACAAATTATATGACCGGTTCTTGCATACTCTCGACACAAGGACGACGGGTAATTTTAAATTTCTTTTGCATCTACACTTGTCTTATTTTATTTCGTTTTCGTACTTAGTCTCTTTATCAGGCAATCCAACTTTGATCTCAGATAAACTCAGACTAGACCAATTGCTAAAAAAATTAAATAAGGTCCACTCATTCGGGTTCAGGTTGTAAAGTTTCAGCAACAAGCACCGCTTGAATTATCGAATATCTCTCACTTGAATATATCATCGAACATCTCCCTCAATTCACTAATAAAAGCAGAAATTAACATCCTTCATAGATTTTACTAAAGGTCCATGTCCACAAGTGTTTAGTGTCTCACTGGGACACCTTTAGTGTCTCACTGAGACACCTTTAGTGTCTCACTGAGGCACCTTTAGTGTCTCACTGAGACACCTTTAGTGTCTCACTGAGACACCTTTAGTGTCTCACTGAGGCACCTTTAGTGTCTCACTGAGACGCCTTTAGTGTCTCACTGAGGCACCTTTAGTGTCTCACTGAGACACCTTTAGTGTCTCACTGAGACACCTTTAGTACCTTTAGTGTCTCACTGAGGCACCTTTAGTGTCTCACTGAGACACCTTTAGTGTCTCAGTGAGCTCGCTCTGACACGTGCTACTCGTGCGGTTCCAGGGTCACATCTCAGGAAACTGAATGGGCTATATTGTCTAAATAATTACGCAATTCCGGCCCCTAGCACTATTAATACGCCATTTTTTCGGGCAAAACTGGGTCGGAAGGACCCACACCAGGACAAAATATGCATCACTATTTGGAAAAATGTCTTCATTTCTCTGGGTGCTGTCTCAAAAATCTTATACTTTCCCAGGTTTCGAAGTCAGGTCCGTGGGCGGCTATCGCATCAGGTGGAATAATGTTTCAAAAACACTGGCTACTAAATTTATATACGATGATTAATGGCGCTGCTTTAAGATGCTTCTTCACATGCGGGAACAGCCACCGAACAGCTCGGTTCTCTCGTAGCGTCCATAAACAAACGTACAAACGTCAGAACAAGACGAGTTCCCAGGCGTAGACTCTTTATGTGACACGTGAGCCGGCGCCGTGAAGATCATGCCGTGCTGTGAGCAGTGCAGTGAGCAGTGCAGTGAGCAGCGCAGTGAGCAGTGCAGTGAGCAGTGCAGTGAGCAGTGCAGTGAGCAGTGCAGTGAGCAGTGCAGTGAGCAGTGCAGTGAGCAGTGCAGTGAGCAGTGCAGTGAACAGTGCAGTGAGCAGTGCAGTGAGCAGTGCAGTCTTGTCACGTCTCAGGGCAACAATAGAATTGGTTAGATTTTATTTACTGAGGCCAGACTGGCGCGCATCTTTTTGTTGTCGCAGCGGCGTTCATTTCTTCGGCCGCGGTCTTCATTGCAGCGCTACAGACAACGCGCTGAAGACTGCCGGCTCGTTATGCAGGAGTAGTCTTCAGCTTGAACTGCAGACAAGTTTGTGCAGTTCAAACACTGGTCTGCACTGATCTGGGTTGAAGATCAGTTGACAGACTCTAGGAGGGTCTGCAGGCAATGCAATAAAGTAGATTTATATGTTAGTAGGCGTAAAAATTTATAGAATAATCTAATGCAGACAACACTGCCGACTCTTCGCGGGTCTGTATTTTTTGTTTCGGGTTTTTCTATTATTGTCTGCACCAACAGGCGCAACATTGGTCTGGGAAGTAAATACCCTGCATTTATTAGAAAAGAATCTGAAGATGAAGCGGACAATGCACGTCTTAAAAAATAAAGGCTAAATTAGTTGATGAAGACTAGGAAGACGAAGAGGGAAGATTGAATTTTTAATGAGGATTCAAAAAAAGAAAGAGAAAGACAGCATGTATCAAAAAAGTCTCGAAAAGAAGGTGGAAAAACTGCATTTTTTTGCAATGACTCGACAATGAAGGGAAACGACAGCATTTATTATTCAAGAAGCAGTAACTGTACTCGTCCACTAATCATACCGAATTGTTTTGCCTTATAATCAACACAGAATAAACAACCAATTAGCGATCTACCCTCCCCCCACCCCGATCTTTACCCCCACCCCTCCTCCCCTCTCAAGCCTCATTACTATAATCATGAAAAGACGAAAACTAAATGCAGCCACAGAAGCAGAAGCCATCTGACAAGAAGCAATATAATATCGGTAAACGAGATCTCTCTTCGTTCAAAGATTTGGAATCCTGGAATGCTAGCCGCGCAAATGACACATAAAAATTCCAGCCGTACCATTCCGGCTGCCGTGAACCATTCCAAGTTGGTAGGAATTGTGAGCGCTGATAGAACACCATCGAAACTGTCGAATTGTGTTAAGAGAAAAATTGTGTTCCCATTCCATCGGGAATAGTTGCCGACGCGTAACATTCCTTATCGGGAATGGTCTAGGAATCTGATTCCTATCAGTCGACTCAGGCTCTGGAGTTTGTTTCAACTCAAAAACTTGCGGGAAACCGAGTAGCTTTACGAGTCCAAAACTGTATACCGTCTCCATATGGCTCCATCTGGATACCGTCTCCACATGGCTCCATCTGGATAGCGTCTCCACGTGGCTCCATCTGGATACCGTCTCCACATGGCTCCATCTGGATACCGTCTCCATATGGCTCCATCTGGATACCGTCTCCATAATACTCCCTCTTGATACCGTCTCCATATGGCTCCATCTGGATCCCGTCTCCATATGGCTCCATCTGGATACTGTCTCCATATGGCTCCATTTGGAGACCGTCTC